GGGAGAGAGACAGCAACTTGGTCCAAACATTATAACTTCAGTCTTGTGCTCATTTAGACTAAAGAAGTTAAGAGAAACTGTGCCTTAACATCATTAAGGCAGTGTGTAAGTTGCTGGAATGTGTTATTTTGTGCCATGGGAAAATAGATCTGGCAATCATCAGAATAGAAGGGAAATGAAATGCCATGTTTCCTAAAAACAGAGCTGAGGGAGTAGGCAAAGAGCAAATTAGAGTGCCAAGGATTGAGCCCTGGGGGACACCAAGTGGAAGAGGAACTGTGGAAGACATAAAATTGTCAATTTTTATGCAGAAACTTCTATTAGATAAATACAACCGAAACCAATTGAGGGTGACGCCCCTGATGCCCACAAAGAGCTCAAGACGAGAAATTAAAATTCTGTAATCAACAGTGTCAAATGCAGCAGACTGTGGCAGTGGTTAATTTGAGCCGGATCCTGTCGGAACAAGATCCGGGAACTGTCTCATTTTGACCCGTTCTGTTCCGGCAACTCTTTCCTCGGATCTGTCAACTCCGCCCCTAAAAGTTCAAAGTCATCGCACATTTTTATTTTGATTATGTATTAAAAAATACAATGAGAGGAGACGTTGTCCTCAGCCCGGAGGACCCAGTCTGTGGATATTCCAGCCGCAGCACGCGCGGCGCACCAGCTACACACTCCTTCGAGGAGCAGGAGAGGAGCCTTTAGGCAGGGAGATGGATCAGATAGTCACATTTACGCACAGAGGTGCTGCGCGGAGTCCTTGTCTCCTCCTCCTCTCCAAATATTGTCCCTCCTCAGCAGGGACGCGGATTGAAAAACACCCCCTCTCTCCTCCTCTCAGACCCCCGAAACAGAAACAATAATTATTCAACAGAATAAATAAATTCCCTGTGGACAGTGCACATTATGCACAGAAACGTCTCCAATCTCTACCCAGCGTGCACACACATCAGCAGGTTTCTGAACTCCTGCTACATTTCAGACATAATAAATAAAAAAAAGCTTACTGTAAAAAATTTATTAAAAATATAAAGAGAGAAATGTTTGATGTTATTCATATTCTACGTCACGTTTCAAAACAACGGCACTAATTTGTCAAAATAACAGCGATCAAAATGTAAAAAAGACAGTCCAATTTACTTTAATAAAAAATGGATGGATGGATTGATTGATTGATTGTCCTTAGTTGGACAACAGAGAACTGAAGCCTTCAGGTGCTTCAAACGGTGCCACGAGACTGGAGCAGGAGCAGAGAAGAGTTCAGCTCAGACCTGTGAAGTGAGGGGAGGGAGGAGGGGGGTTTAGGACACCTGACAGAATCGGTGCTGCTGCACACAACCTGCTGTTCCTCTCCAAAATAGTGATTTTTAGTAAGTGTTTACAAATGTAGGTAAATATTGATGTATAACAACTCATTAAAATACACCAAAACGCCAGAAATGGCATCCGTTATTCAAAATTTTCTGTGAGAGGACACACGGACCCCCCGACACACACACAGCCTGCCTGCTGTTCCGGCATCAATCAGTTTACAAATTAAGCCCTGGCTAAGGGCACTAAAACAACAAATTTCCAGTCAGTTGACAATAATATATAATTTGAAACCCTCAAATGTGCACTCTCTGCACTGTGGCGGGCTTTGAATCCAGACTGAAATGGCTCAGTGATACCATTGTCCTTTAAAAATGGTAACAAATGGTTGTAGACAAGTATCCTGATGCATGCTCAATAATCCAGGTAGAAAAATCCAAAAAAGTTCAATCTGGTCCTCTGGACATTCAAAAAAAAAAAAAACAAAGCAAAAAAATATAGAAACGTTTCTTCTCTCATCCAAGAGACTTCCTCAGTCTCAGGGTTGTAGACAAGCTTCTCTAATATTTTAGAAATTGAAAGATTAGAGATAAACCTGAAATTGGAGCAGAGAGGGGTGTCGAGGCCTGTTTTTTTTTTAAGTAGAGGATGTACAAATACATGGTTAAAAGCCCCAGGTACTATAACAGAGGAAAGCCTGCTATCATAATCTGAAGTACACCTGATCCAATAGTAGCAAATACCTCCTTAAACAAATGATGTGGGATGGAATCTGCAGGGGAACCAGAGGGCCTCATACAACTGTGTCTTCTAGAAAAGAGAAGGACACCGGCTCGAACTGATCAAAAATAGATGAGTAATATAGAGGAATAGAAGGATCGTATGAAGGCTGAGAAATACAAGCTCTGGTTGACAAAATTTTATTAATGAAGAATTTTTTAATTCAATTCATTTTATTTCTATAGCGCCAAATCACAACAAAGTTGTCTCAGGGCACTTAACAGGAACATTCACATAAAAGCCAATTAGAAAAGTTCTCTAAGGAATCCAGCAGACAAGTTGAATCTTGGCTTTGTTGCAGTCTCCCATCCTGAGCAAGCACAGTGGCAACAGTGGAAAGAAAAACTCCCTTTAACAGGAAAAAACCTCCAGCAGAACCAGGTTCAGGACAAGAGGCCATCTGCTTTGACCAGCTGGTTGAGAGGACAGGAAGGAGAGACAGACGAACATAGAATGGTAGGTCCAGATATAGGTCCAGGTGTACCTGAAAGACAAAAAAACACGTGTTAAGGATAGAAAAAAATAATTACAAATACCAAACAGGTTGAGCAGAGTAGGTAAAGACAGTAGTAGAGTGAAAATTGTGGTCAGTTTGTCTTCCAGCAGTCTAAGCCTATAGCAGCATAACTAAGGGACAGCTCAGGAGATCCAAGCCGACCCTAACTATAGGATTTAGCAAAAAGGAAAGTCTTAATTAAAACTGGATCATGTGTCAGCCTCAAGGACAGAGATTGGAAGTTGGTTCCACAAGAGAGGAGCCTGATAACTGAAAGATCTGGCCCAGACAACATCCCCGGAAAAGTGTTGAAGGAATGTGCTGATCAGCTCTGTGAGGTGCTGGCAGACATCTTTAACACCTCACTTACCCTGGAGACAGTTC